GATAGGAAGGAAATGTAATTGGTTTCCCAAAGTTGACAGACCTTCTGTGAAGGTGTGAAGTAAACTCATCTGCATGTTATTGGCAGAAGTGTGTCACCCTGGTCTCAGGGCTCCAGTCACACCCCTTTTCTCTATCTGCCTTCCCACTGCTATGATCCCTAACAACTATCCTGAGGCCTATCTCTAAATTTAAGGATTTCAGTGAAATCTTGGAATCATAAGTTTTTGTTTTACATTTCTATTCTATTGCCTTTTACCTGAAAGTTACCCTAAATTGTGGTTGCATTCTTATCCTTGTCTTAAAGATCTTATTTGTAACGTGAGCATGGAATTGAGAGTTTTGTGAAAGTTGAAAATTATTTTTCTTAGGGAGAAAAATTTTTCCTAAACCAACCCGTTCTCCAAGTGTAGTAATGATCTATATAAGAACTTTATCTTTGAGTACTTGACTGTTTTTTTTTTTCTTCTTTGCTGCCTTACCCACAGTTCTTAACTCTGCCTAACTTTGCAACGTGCAGTTTTTAACTTACCAGATTTTGTATTGCTGAGGGTGGTTTGCGTTTTCCTCCTACAATGTAAAAGCTGTAGTCTGTTTTAAAGAGCATAGTGCTCAGGAAGCAACCTCTTATCTTACTGTTTGCTTTGAGGCACAGATAGGTGAAGTAAGTCGCCCAAGGTCACTCAGCTGGTGAGCGTGGACCTAGGCTGGGGTTAGGACCCCAAGACCACCACATGTAGAGTGGCAGTCCCCAGCCCAGCCCCAGGAATTGGGTGAGGTGCCCTTGCTGTGGACTCGCACGGTGTCCCACGTGGTCCCTATTTAACACATGCTCCTGGAGTTGTCACTGCATCTGCAGATGTTTCCTGCGACTGTCCCCCCTACAGGAAGGACCCAGATCTGTCTCTTCAGTGTTGTATCTCATGGCCTTGCACTTACCAGGCAAGTGGCAAATTGAACGAATCAATGATGACATAGGTGGAAAGAAACAAAAGAGGAAGATTAGATCATTAATTAGATAAAGGAAAGAAACTTGACATTTGTTGGGCACCTGCTTGTGCCAGCTGTTTTATCTTCTTTTCCTTCACTTATTCCTCACAACGGAGCCAACAGTCAAGCGCGGTAATTCCATTTTACAGATAGACAAAACTGAGGCCCAGAGAGGTTAGGAGTTTGCCGAACATTGGTATGTCTCCAAAGCCTGAGTTCTTCCCAGTATTTTGGAGTTTTTCAAATTATAAATAACTGGGATTTCCTGGGAGACAGAAACACTCGTAGGGCGGTGCAGAGGGTGGTGAACAGGCCGTTTTTCTCAGGGTCTGACTAGTGGGATCTGCAGGTGTGTGGCCAGTGGGTACTGAATGCTGTCGCTGGTGCTCAGGACATCCAGAGTTTTCTTTACCTCTCAGGCCCTGTGACTGCTGTGTCTTTGGAGGTGGTTTTCCAAATTTGCTGGAAATTGAACCTAAAAGCCCGGTTTGTAGGTAGTCACTTGTCCCCCCGAGCAGGTGGCAGTTTCTGCAGTGTGTAGAAAGCTTGCTGCTTTATTTCTCCACTGCTGCTGCTGCTATAGTCAGGGCTTGACACAGGAGAGAGAGTATGTGTGTGTTTTCTGTGTTTATGGAACTCCCTGGTCTGTAAAGGGGTGTGGCCTCCATTAGCAGGAGGGCACCCCTGGGAGCAGGCCACCTGGGGGGCTTAAGAGGATATGGCCATGACCTCCGTGGCCTGGGAGGAGCTCTAACTAGCTAGTGACCTTACGTGTATTTACCTTCTCCACAAGTGAGAGAACAGTAGGCCTCTCTGGACACTTGAGCCCTCTTCTTAATTACTTTTTAGAATGTTTCTCTGCACTACTGGTTTAAATGTGGACCCTTTTTATCCATCAAAAGGCAGGGGCTTTCGGAAAGATGCCAGTTAATAATTATGATGGAAAAATAAGTGGTTTCTTGGACAGAGGGATCTGGTGGTAGCAGGATGACCTCAAAGAGTGACATCTAGGTCCTAAAGCATGCCTTTTGGACACTTTCATCGCCCGTGGGGAGTTAAGACTGCGGGAGGACGGTGTGGTGCATTTGGGTGGCAGCTGCCATGTGTCTGCGAGCAGAACCTGCTGCCAGAGGGCTGCATTTTCAGTGGAACTTCATGGCGTGTCACTGGGCATCTGCCTGTGGCCAGTGGAGCAGGGATTGCAGGGGTTTTGACCAGAGTTGGCCATGTGCTCATTAATGGTCCCCTGGCTTGGAAGGAGGGTCTGTCCCTTTAAGACAGTCCTCCTTTGTATGCGCTGATGGAACCCATTTCAGCTCTGGGTTTCTGCGGACTGTTAAAATCTGCAAAGCAACATTTAAATAAATAAATAAATGAAAGCTTCCCTTGTGTGGCTTTTCTATTCACAGCAGAGCACAATGGCCCCTGTTGTTCTCCTTACTTTAATCCCCTTCATTAAATTGGAACCCTGGAAAGAGACGGTGAGGGGGCTGATGGTGAATGTCCCCTGACTGCCAGCCGGACACCTTGCAGATTAACCTTCGCAGGCATGGATCCCCGGGCCTCTCTGGCCGTGGGCGAGGAGGGCGGGTGGGTGGTGTGTTGGGGTGGCTCCCCCTCTGATCGTCTCCATTGTGCTCAGGCTGGTGGCAGGGACAGCCTGCTGCCCTC